ACCCCCGCCTCCAACCCCGCCTCCAATCCCGCCTCCAATCCCGCCTCCAATCCCGCCTCCAATCCCGCCTCCAATCCCGCCTCCAATCCCGCCTCCAATCCCGCCTCCAATCCCGCCTCCAATCCCGCCTCCAATCCCGCCTCCAATCCCGCCTCCAGTTCCGCCTCCAGCTCCGCCCCCAGCTCCACATCCGGTGCCGTCCAGAGTCCGGTTAGCAAGCCATCGGCTGCGGTCTCTCCTCTTCTCGGCCTGGCTTTCAAAGAAAACGCCCACTCTTCTTCAACGGTACCTTTGCCAACGACCACTTCCGTGACGCCTCCCCCGCCTCCTCCGACAACGCCGTCCGCTCAGCCCAGCTATTACAGAACTGAGTATATCACCAATGGGAACCAGGTTACCGAGATCCTCTGGGTGGAGAAGTGGGTCACGGTTACGGATTACGGCAACTCGCCTGCTCCTACACCTGCCGGTGCTCACGACCATCGACGTCGCCACATGCGCCATGGACATGTCCATGGCAAGTTTTGATGGAGTTTGAAAAGGCAAAATTAAAACGGTAAATGACGTTGCTGATTTAAAGTTATATTTTTTTCCTGTCTTTTCTTCTGGTAGGGGACCATTGGTGCCATCTGGGCGGGTTCCAGAAATATGGGCTCACATTCTTCGTATGATTGATAGCATAGTTGGCTTCACTTGTTTTTCTTTTCTTTTCATAGAGCAGAGATGCTACCATTTCTTCTTGGTAACTATAGGGGTTAAATCAAGCAACGTGACCAAATTCAATTGTTGCAATGAGTGCAGCGAGGCCGAGACGGCTGGCGCCAAGTGCGACATGGGCTGAGCTTGACTGACGATGTGACAAGGCACAACAGACTGTCATTCTCTGAATGCACTCCCATTGTTACCATATGGGCACCCAAAGAAGATTATTAGTGGAGCTTTAACTTTGTCATTTGTGAAGCCTCTGCTTGCAAGAACATGAAGGGTGGGTTGCTGACAACTGGAATGAAGTCACACTGGCAACGCATTCCTCGAATTGCTGGAGTGGGACAGACCCAAACACCATCAAGGAGCTTGACCAATGTTTATGCCCAGAGAAACAAAATGGCAAAACCTTCCTTAAACTGGCGTGCTAGTTTTCCCAGCCATACTAACGAAGCAGCAGTACGGCGACTGAAATCAAGTCTCCTCGACCAGCGGTAATCGGCGTCACTTTCGCCGGTCAACGGGACGGGCGACGAATACCCTCCAATGCCCCAAGTCGTCTGAGAAGGGGAATAGAAAAAAAAACCAAAGAAGAAGTCATTATGGATGTTTCGGTTCTTCCAAGAAGAGATGGCGACTCGGGCGGACTGAGCCTGGGAGGGTTGCTCGCCATTGCGCTGTGTGGCTCCATAGTGATATTCACATCTCTCGGCCTTTTCATGGCGTGGAGGGTCAAAGTCCGTCAGAAGCGAACCACGGAAAGGATGTACACGATGCCCGATGAATACTCCCAGACTCGTCTCACAAAGCGACCTCTTGTCATGACCGAATCGGACGTCAGCGGGCTTCCGAGCCGCCTGTCCTCTCGGTTCTCACTTACACTCCCGCCAATAATCCCGCTGCCTCCGATGCTATCGTACAATAACCTCAACATTTTCCGATCGTCTAGTAAGCGGCGTGCAGAGAGGAAGAGCTGGATCAACGGCGAGGAATTCCACGGCCCGACTGTGAAGAAGGATTCGAAAGACGGGTGGTTTAGCAGGGATAGTTGGATTCGACAGTTTCCTACGGTGCCCAACGTCAGGGTTGCCGAGGAGGGCGGCGACGGGATACATGATGTCGGACGGCAGAACAGCCAGCACAGACCGTCGTACGAGGAGTATCGGAAGCAGCAGCAGCAGCACGAAGAGCCGTCCCAGTTTCAGAACCACCCACCGTATTATCAGGAGCCGCAGCAGCATGCGCGCAACCAGCAACCGCAGGCGATATATGTACAGAAGCGGAGGAGTGGAAGCAACCTCCCGGCCAGCCAGACGACGCCGAATCTGTCTTTGCAGGACGATGTTCCTAGGGGTCGTCAGTCTGCCGTGCGTACGCCGGCCCAGGCACATGTGCGGCCGTCCGTGACTATGACGGAGATGGGGCTGAGGGATATCTTGCGCTCGACTGACCAGCGTCTGCGCGAGGGATCCAGCCGATCTCCTGTCAAGCATACGCCGCAACCGTCGCCAACTCGTACATCGCCGGTGAAGACTCCGTCCAGCCGGACGTCAAACTCGGGGCGTGCAACTGGGCGGCATCATAGGGGAACCCCAAGCCCCGGCAAGCCTGGGAACATGGCTGCTTTGCCGACTCAGGCTTCGGTTGCTTCGATTGGAAGTGTGGCGAATAGTCTGATTGCCCAAGCTACGCAGGAGCTTGAGCTCCCAGACGGCATGCCTAGTCCCAGCCGCGTTGGAGGGCGGGAATGGGAGCCCCAGGGGCAACAGATTCTGCCACCGAGCTTGCCAGGGCTGGAGAGCCCAAGTTATAGGAATAAAAGCCCCCAGCGAAGCCCCCAGCGCAGCAGCCCTCAGAAAAGCCCGTCAAAGAGACGGTCCGTGGACAGTGACGAGTCGAGTTCCTTGTCCACCTTGTACAGCGTCGGCGAGCCCGAGAGCGAGGAGCAGGCAATTCAGCGGCAGTACTTCCTCCAGCAGCAGAGGTATCGACAGGAAGAGCTGCAAGCACTGGCCGCAGGAGATGATCCATTCACCAATAACGGCCGCGCTCGCGGTCGTCATCACGTCAGGCAAAAACAGGAGCAGCCTGCCGGCCCCCGGCCGCTGAGGCGCACAAAGACCATGAGCCCAAGCGTGCTCACCACTCGGACGGATGCGTCGCCCATTTCCCAGCCACTGCGGCCACTGTCGGTCAATTCCAAGAGCGGACCCGGCCGCGGCATTGATCTCCAAATGGTGCCGCCCCGTCCTCTGACGCTGGGAGCCTCGCGCACAGGATCCGACGGCGTCGCGGCGCAACAGCCTCCAGTGCCGGAACCGCAGTCAGACTGCAGCTTCACATCAGACTCGGTGGGCAGCGACGACTCGGAAGCAACGGCGCTGCTGGCCTGCGAAACACCCAAGCCAGAATGGGTTGCTGCCGCGGACCGCGGCCGCTCGCCGACGGGCAGCCCACTCACACCGGGCGCCCGAGACGACAAGGACGCCGACTTGTCGTCGTCGTCGCCCTTTAGCGAGCAGGAGATCCTGTCCATGCTCCTGGCAAGCGGGAGCAACAAGCGGGCGCTGCCCCAGCCGCCAGCCGCGGTCGCCGGCGCGGACGGCAGCATCCTCTCCACGGGCCTGTCTCCGCGCCCGTCGGTCAGGAGCGCCGCCGGCTCTCCGCGGAGGAGGCCCTCCGGGGCCAGCTCGTACTGCTCGCTCGCGGACCCCGCCGCCGTCACGTACGGCTCGCCTTCTCGCCCTGCCGCGGGC